CACTCTTTCACCCCAAAAAAACAAACAAACAAAACTCTGGCTTTGTTACAACTTAACAGAGAAGAAGGCAATGGAGATGCAAAAAAAAAAAAGCCTTTCATCTTTCAGGTAGTTTTTGCCTTTGGATTCCGTAGGAAAGTTTTTGTTTTTGTTTTTTGAGTGTAGTTTCGTTTGAAATGGCGGGTAAAGATCTTACCTCTTGTCCTTGTACGTAATGCTTCCGACAGGAGAGACCACGACGGCCGTTCCAGTGCAGAAAACCTCATCAGCATCTAGCAATTCATCCACTGTGACTCGTCGTTCCTCCACCTGCACAAGAAACAATCTTTTCCACATACTATGCAACCACAGGCCTAGCCCTCGTATAAAGTTTGACCCTTTGATGGCGTAACGGTACTTTGATCTTCTTGTCTTTAAACGAAAAAAGTTGGAAGAAGAACGATACCGTAAGCCCTAGGCTCCGAGCCAGATCGATAATGCTTTTACGAGTGATTCCAGGAAGGATGGTCCCTTTGATCTCAGGAGTACAGATCGCATTATCCTGGCAAAGAAAATGCACCCCCAGATAACGAAAATGCAAGATCTTAGCTAATAATTGTTAGGAATTTTGTAAAAGGACTAAGGCGAAACGTAAAAGACAAACATCTGGACTAGAGGGCGCTGCGTTATCAGATACCAGCAAATGATACTTTACCTTCACTATGAAAATATTGCAAGAGCAAACCTCCTCAATATATCTTTTGTGAACGCAATCGAGATATAAAACATCAGAATATCCTTTGGCCTTTGCATTTGAATGTGCCTTTAGAACCTAAATTACAAATACCCACCACTGTTAATGTTTGTACTCGAAAACTGAGAGCCGGAGTAAATTCATATAACAAGCCTGTCTGAAGAAAATGAACAAACTATACAACAAGTGAGGACTGTGCGTACTTACAGCAGCATAATTGCCGATGGTTTTGACACCCCCGGTACCACCAGGAGTGGCACGGTGAGATTCATGTTCCACAATCAAGTTGATCGGTGCCACGCCTTCCTGATATCATTTTAGAAAAGATGTTATCAATCAAAATAGTTGTTAAAGCCTCTGAATGGTATATCCAATGGCATAAAAGAACATAAGGCTTTGGATGAATGGAGTGGTATCTATATCATCATCTGGAAGGGAAAAACAATGGACAAAGCATCCAAATTATTGAACAATCCCAGAGGAAATTTTGAAACTTTTTTAGGCTAACCTTGAAATAATTCCCCACCGGCGAAACATAAACAAGGAAAGTGAATTCTGGAGCAGGGGCAAGACTAAGAACAGCTCCACTTCCCATTAGCAATGGCCGGATATACAAGGAACCTTTACCTGGAGGAGGAACCTGAAACAAGTAGAGCTCAAAGAGTCAAAAGCACAGAACTAAGATAATATTCCACATTTTCAACCTAACAAAAGTTGTGTAAATACCCAGCGTTTGTTTGCAAGTACGGTCATCTTCACAGCTTCGACAAACTGTTCAACCATTGGGGAAGGCATACACATCCTCTCAGCACCCATTATCATGCGGTTAGCATTCTCCTCCGGACGGAAGAGGAGAATGTTCCCGTCCTGTGTTCTGTAGGCTTTTAGCCCTTCAAACAATCCCTACAAAATTGCCCGCTAAGAAACATCATATTGAACAAGCTGGAGAGAGACCGTAACATCACATTGTCCCCAGAAAAAAGCAGCACATGACGCAGATACAGAAAGGACATCCTAAATTCTAACTAAGTGAACTAGTTCCGGACCTCCAGTCTTAGTCATAAAGAGGACTTGAACACAAACATTAATTTTTAAAAGCTACACATCTTGAGAAAAGATTCGGATAATTTACTCTCCCTCTAAATTACCCAAACCATGATATTCTCCACCACTGCAGCTGAAAGGTGACTTGGGTAACGCTTTTGGCACTTGAAGAATCTCTCCAGATGAAGAAACACTAGGACTTTGGGTTTATAGGTTACCCGTAAATGGACTTAAGTTGGACCAGATATTGGTTAGCAAAGGACAAGACTTGAGAAACCTACGTACCTGTCCATAATTGAGAACACATGCAGATGGGCTAAGCTCAATGTTCCCAAAACGCTGCAACTCACCCTTAGAGAAGATCCCGTCGGGGCCACATTTCATCACGAACATGTAATCTGTTGGTTTAAGGCCGAAACCGATGTTGTCCCATTCTATTTCCGGTAATTCAGCCATCTTGGTGCTATCGAAGCAACAGGAACAAGTTAACCTCTCACCAGAAGCAAACACCAATATCCAAACGTGTTTGATTTGATTGTGTTCCAACTAAACCCAGATATCCCAAAATGACTAAAACGAACCTGGTGGAGTTGTACAAAACGGGGTGGCATCGAATGCCATGCATGGCATTAGAAGAAGCGGAAGAAAGGGAATACCGTACCTGCACCCCAAAATGAGGGCGAAAATGTAAGAGAAGCCTAGGGAACGGTAACAGAAGAGAAGAAAGTTACCTTTAGAGAGAGAGAAGGGTGATGAAGAGATGACCGGAGACTCCGAGAAGTGGAGAGAGAGCGGAAGAGTGAAGGGCAAAGGAGGTAACTTTGGCTAATACCCTGCGAAACTGCGGTCCTCTCCATCTATATAAAGATGGTACAAGAAGAATGATGTATAGTTACTTGCAGAATAAACATGCACGTTGAGCATATAAGAAAAAAGAAAGGAAAGCAGAACATAATGCCAACACGTGAAGAATGCCAACAACCTAGAAGACCAAGTTGGTGTGGGGGAGAACTGTAAACTTTGAGTCACATCATTTCTCCAAGTCCTCACAAACTGTGATAATGATATGACAAAAAAAAAAAAAAAAAGTAGAGAAACCACAACATGAACAAAATAAGAAGGTACAACCAGTTCCACTGAAACGAACACAAGACCTGGAACGTTTGTCAAGTTGCACCGTCTCACAAGTCTTTTTGTTACATGAACTGAGACGATTCTTTAACATTTTTTATTCATCTGGTTCTGGCCTACAGTTTTCACATAGAAAAAGTCGATATCTTTTCTTTTCGATAGCTATTAATCCAACCTTGGATCACCCGAATCTCGGCTTCTCTCTGCTCCACCAACCATTGAGGGTCTTCAGGGGTCGAAGGCCGCAAATCCAAGTGATGCGCACCTGAAACACCATGACCAAAGTTTAAACCATGAAGGGTGATTTGTAGATCACTGTTTGTTTCATGAAGGGGATGCACAGAAAATGAAGTAACATCTGAGTGTTTATTACCTTCTTTTGTAACAAGAGCCACGATGGTCTCCGATATATTCTTGAGGATACTACATAATATAGGAGATCCAAAACATTTCATCATAATTACAGGCATAGTTCTTAAACACCAGCTTTCTGGAGAGTGTTTCGGGATTATGTTCAACTAATGTGATGAAGATCTTACCTCCCACCGCTCCAAGGATCTAATAGACCATTTGAGAAGATGATGTTACTTCCAAACATCTTCAAGATGGTCTCTATGCCCTTTTACAAATGAAAACTAAATGATTCAGACAAGTCATTGTGACTCCACTAAAGAATGTGGTTTTTAGGTTAGAGTAAACAAATGTGAGGTCATCAGTGGATAAAACAGAACTCTTGATGAACATGGAAGACAAATTGAGTTCATGAAAAACATTTTTTTACGCAGTTGGACTGTTCATTTATATCTATAGCAGCCTTACATGTCCACCAAACTCTGTTGTGATCCATCTAGGCCTTGGTATGACCCGAAACATGTCCCAGCATTCTTCTTTGTATGAAGAATAATTGAAATCATATGTTGGAAACATGCTATTCTCCTTGCTGCTAGACATGGGCATGACCATCTCAGTGCATGCCTGTTGCAGACCAGGTAAAAGGAATCAACAGAGTTCACCTGTCTCAAAATGATGATGTTTAGTCACAAACTTTCAGGAAACAATAGAGTTATTCGGACCTGAAAATCCCAACCGTCCAAACCATGGGGATCATCATCCAACTTGAAGCAACCAACATTTCCGGTATAGTTGTAGTACACACTTACTCCCGCAAATATGCGATCTAGGATACTAGTACCATCATGAGACTCATCAACCCTTCTGCAGACCTACACAAAGATATGAGTATGTTGAACAATGAAATGGCAGGAACTTCTAAGGATGTGGTGCCATGACAGCCAAACAGTGAAGAAAAAAAAAAAGATAGCAGAATGGAAGTAATTCCACATTTTACGTTTTGGAGCAGTGGTAGTAAATGAACATGAGAAAAATCCACTAACAACTATGAGGAGAATATCATTCGAGAATCGTAAAGCATTACTTCCCCAGATTCACCTCTCTAATGGGATGTCCAGGCATAGGCATCATGAAATTAGCAGGATATGGGTAGTCCACCATGGCCAAATAACTGTAAGCAGAACTCAACCAGTCTGCAAGATCATCAGTACTCTTCAACTCTCTGCAGAAGAACTACCAGCGATATGAAACCAGATAGAAACGGGCATCTAATGTATATGATCCCTGCTGATAACAAGCCCAATTGATAATTCCAAGTTTCTAGCTTACCGACAAAAGTGAAACGTTTTTGTAAGGCGCTGAAGGCCATTCTCTTTCTGACCCTCTTCAGTAATTGCATCCCATGACTCCTTAATGGTGTTGAAGCAGCTAGTGCTCTCACGCTGCAGAATTCACAGACAGGAATTAGAAAAGAAAAGACAAAACAAATGGAAGCTAAGTAATGACTGCTGATGACCAATCTGACATACCCTGAAATCATTTGATACAATGTCATAAAAAGTCTCGGGAGGCACAATATCTTCGAACTGAAGAATCGGGGCCGATGAAGCTAAGGCCCCTATTGCGATATGAGGATATTTGAGCCTCATCCATGCTGCTAACACTGTTGCATTAACACAACACAAGACATTCACTAGAGAATCTCAACAAAACACGTCTCAGCAATCACTGTTCCTCACCAAATGTCCATCTAATCTAAAGGAGAGACAAAACTCTATTATCCTTACTTCCTCCATATGATCCTCCAAACAACACAACAGGGCACGATTCCGCGGATAAGTTCCGCTTCAAATCAGTGATAAAGACGGCAAAATCCGCGAGAGCTTGCTCAGTTGTGAGATAGGATAATGTGCTAGCGTTCTTGTAGGCCTCTTCCCTTCCCCCGAAAGGCATCGATTCCCCATAATACCTATGCTGCAAATCCAATTCAAACCACAAGTCAATCGGTTACCCAAGGCAAAGTACTGCTGCAGATTTTCTCGGCAACCAAACAGGAATATCACACAAACGAAACCTCGGGGAAAACAAGCAAGGCACCAAACTTGGGAGCAATCTCCCACATGAACCCAGAATTTGTGGCGAACCACTCGATATCCCCTTCGTTGCCGCAGTAGAGGAAGATCGGGCCGAGCCGGGCCGGGCCGAGCCAGTGATCGAAGTTGATAAGGTACCGTTGTGAGAACGTCGGGAGATCGGCGAAGCTGAAGTGGTCGAGCCGTTGGGAGAAATACCTAGTCTCGTACTGGTACTCCGGTTGATCTCGCCGGAGCGGTTGGGTACTGGTTCGGTGCCAGACAGAGTACCGCGGAAAGCGCGGCGAGCCGTTAGATAGAGAAAAAAAGGACGACGTCGATGATTTCGACGGTGCCGATGAAGCGGTGAAGACGATGAGGGCTGCGAGCAGAAGCAGGTGAAGGCGGTCCGCCATCTCTGGATGGTTTCCTTTCCTGCACTTCTATCAGTTTTGTTTTTCTAGTGTTGGGACTTGGAAGAAGCAAGTTACCAGGATGCAAGACTCTAAATCATTCGGAGGGTTATTGTTCACGTCAAACCGCTTCAAAGGCCAACCAAAGGAAACAAAGCAAATGCATCACAAAGACAAAACTGAAGAAGTCGCAACAGTTTTCTGATTTGTTCGCAAGTTCGTAACGCAAACTTCTTCTGGAACATTCCAGAGGTACCATTTGGTATTACGAAACCAAAAAAAGACTGACTCAGAAGTCACTCAGAGTGAAAGGAAGAACATGCTTTTTCCTTTTATTGAGGACATGTTGAGAGACGGACTCGAAGGTTGTCTTGTCTGAAGGGGAGGAAGAGTTCAAGAAGCGAGGTTGATGGGTTGGGGGTGAAGGGCCTTCTGCACGATCTCAGCCTGCTCCTTGACATGGACGGAATAGAAGCCGGTGGCAGTGGCAGCTGACGGAAGACGGCCAACGTACTTGATGTCGTCCATGTTTCCTCTGCCAAGTGCTTTCATGGCCGTGCACAGACGGGGCGCGATATAGTAGTACGCTCCCATGTTCATTGGCTCCTCTTGACACCACACAATCTCCGCATCTGTTACCGAAACAAAAACAAAACAAAAAACAAAAGGAAATGCGGGTCGAGTTTCAAAATCCGTCTGTCATGGGGAGTCAGATTGTCGATGATGAGTTTAAAGGGTTGAGAGCAAATACTTGGATATCGCTTGAGTTCTCTTTGAATGAGATCGTAGGGGAAGGGGGAGAGCTGTTCTACCCTGCATATGGCTACGTCATTTGCACTCGTCTTCTTCCTCTCTTCATCAAGCTCGTAGTATACCTGAAAATTTTTGACTTTATGATCAGAAAAGGTTTCACCTTTATATTATTACAATGGCGTGATGAATCCGAAAAATCTGTTTTTTATTTTACCTTCCCAGAGCAGAGGACTAAACGTCTGATACCTTCCTCGAGGACAGAGTGGTCATTCTGGTCCTTTATTAGACGCTTAAATCGGGTTCCTTGCTTGTCAAACCCAACATGTCCTTGGACGTCATCGAATTCAGACAGGTTAGACACACATTGCTTGTGTCGGAGCAAGTTTTTGGGAGCCATTACAATAAGCGGCTTGCGGAACTCTCTATGTATCTGCAAATGTTTTCAGAGTGTGAGAAAAGGTAGAAACTTTCACAAATTGGGGGGAAAGGATTAGATCCATCAGATTAGTTTTACCTGCCGTCGCAAGACATGGAAATAGTTGGCAGGTGTTGTAATATTAACAACCTGCCAATTACATTCCTGAATCTGCTTGCGGAGGGTCGGGTCCATCTCAGGAATCACAAATGGATTGTCATCGCTCATCTGTGACAATGTTTTTACCAGTTGTAAGGAGGAAAAAAAGAGGAAAGACCCAATGTAAGGATTCGCCAAAATTTAAAGACATGCGTACATGTGAGATTATACCTGAAGGAAACGTTCTAATCTTCCACTAGAATGTTCAGGACCCTGCCCATCATATCCATGAGGAAGCAGAACCACAAGCCCAGTTTGACGAAGCCATTTGGCCTCCCCACTGCTAACGAACTGATCAAACATCACCTGAGCACCATTTGCAAAGTCCCCAAACTGAGCTTCCCATATTACCAGAGAATTAGGGTTTTCCATAGAGTAACCCAATTCAAATCCAAGGACACCAAATTCCGAAAGAGAGCTGCATACAAAGACACAATGACAATCGTGTAAGCAAGCAGAGGGAATGTCACCTAAAAAGATTCAAATAATGTACCTATTGCTGACGGTGAACATCTCCGGGTCTTGGTTCATGATAACGTGATCGAGAGGGCAATATTGTTCCCCTGTTTCCTGATCGTGAACCACTGAATGTCTATGACTGAAAGTCCCTCTTTCGACATCTTGACCACTCAGACGGACATGGTTGCCTTCCACTAACAGTGTAGCAAAAGCAAGAGCCTCTCCAAGTCCCCAGTCAATACCTTCACCAGTTTCGATCATTTGAGCCCGCTGTTCATAAACTCTTTTCACACCTCTGTGGGGCTTAAAATTGTCTGGGAACATGGTGATTGCTTGTCCCACATTCTTCAATATCTCTGGTTTGACACTGCAGAGCAAATAAATATTTTCACAAAAAAAAATTGACATACACGGAAGTAAAGGAGCCACCGAAAAAATTTGGATAAATGAAAATGCACGTACCCAGTGTTTCGGACCCTTGAAATCTGCTCGGGTGATTTGAATCCAGTCCAGTGACTTGAAAGCCAGTCCCGTTTTTGTGGAACGTAGTCTTTACTAGCTAGAAATTCTTCATTGAGAATAGAATTTACCTTTTTGTGTATCTTATCAATATCTTCTTGTGTGACCTGTCCTGATTCGAGAAGCTTGTTCTGATAGATTTGAAGTGCTGAAGGATGACTCCGGATCACCTATCAAACCCAATTAACATCCACAAAAAAGATCAAAGCCAATATCCAAAAGTGGTTGGAAGAGGATTGAAAACTGAAGGAAGATATTGCACCTTCTCGATAGAAATATATGAGAAGGAAAGCGGCAAAGATGATAAAGAGAACTTGAAAAAAATTGCATAGGAAACAGCAAATTGAGCAAAAAGTTATACTTTCAAAAGAGATGGATAAACAACAGAAGATCAGACCTGATACATCTTAGGTTGTGTGAATGATGGTTCATCTATCTCATTGTGCCCAAAGCGGCGGTAACAAACTAAATCAACCACCACATCGGAATGGAAAGTCTGACGCCATTCAGCCGCAAGCTCGCAAGCATGCACCACTGCCTCCATGTCATCCGCATTAACGTGGAAAATTGGTGCACTTAAAGCCTTTGCAACATCAGTACAATATTGTGAAGACCTCCCAGACCTGGGATCAGTTGTGAAGGCCACTTGGTTATTGACTACAATGTGTATCGTCCCACCGGTAGTGTAATTAGGAAGTGCACTAAGATGTAGAGTCTCGTACACCACTCCTTGCCCGGCAAAGCTACCATCCCCATGAATCAAAACACCCATGTTCTTAATTCTATCCTCGTCTTTGGAGTAATACTGTTTCCCTCGGGTTTTACCCATAACAACAGGATCTACTGCTTCCAAGTGACTGGGGTTTGCAACCAAGGATAAGTGAAGTCTCTTTCCTCCTCTTGTTGGGCGATCATAAGATGTACCCAAGTGATATTTAACATCACCTGTTCCTGTGTAGAGTCCAACTTCATCGACGGGCTTGGTGCCACCACTAAACTCGCTGAATATTTGACGAAGAGGTTTTCTGACAACATTACCCAAAACGTTCAGTCTACCTCTGTGGGGCATCCCAATAACTATGCTCTCTACCCCGAGATCTGCAGCCCTATCAAACATCTCTTTCATACCTGGAATCAATGACTCAGCACCTTCAAGACCAAATCTTTTAGCCGTTGTCCACTTAGTAGCCAAGAAATTCTCAAACTGTGAACTCCAGGCAAGACGATCAAGAATAACCTGTCGACGCTCCTTATTGTACTGTTGAGGTGTCGGGGTTTCGATCTTGTCTCTCAACCAGTTACATTTTTCCCTGTCAGCAATGTGCATGTACTCATACCCTATAGTCCCACAGTAAGCCTGCTCAAGCCGAGACAATATAGCTCTCAAGGTTCGAACCGGACGGTTCTCAGACAGAAACCCCGACATCCTCCATACACCCAAAAAGAATTCCCTGTCAAGATCAGCCTCTGAAAAACCATATAGAGCCGGGTCAAGGTCCTCTGGGATTTCTCTCTCTTCTAGAGCCAATGGATCCAGCTTAGCTTTCATGTGGCCGTTAACTTGGTAAGCCCTAACAAGCAACAACAATCGCATACTCTCTTGAATCGTTTGACCTGAAATTCCGGGCGATGTGGCAGCCTGCCCAACAAAATTCCTGAAGAAGTTGTCCCAGGACTCATCGACACTGTTCGGGTCAGCCTCCCAAGCCCTTTGTAGCTCCTCCAGATACACACTGCTTGTCCCATCTAAGAAGCTATCGGTTAGCCTAGAGAGAGGCACCGGACGTGGAACAGGCGCTGACTGTGCCTTGGATTTGAATAACGTGGTCTGAAAATATCTGCTTTGAGAAGGCAGCACCCTTGTCCTTGCCGCATAAGATCCACCCTGAGACAGAGTCCTTCTGATGGCAAGCTTAGCCACAGAGGATCCAGCTCTAAACCAAGCCATACCTAGTGTTCTTTGTTCAACGATCGTCACAGAAATTCAAACACCTCTTGTAAGCAAGCATCAACTGTTTCTTTCAACCTGAAAATGATGCCCTAAACCCTATTAAGATTCAAGATTTTAATTTGAACAAGCAAACAGCCACAGATATGGTTGCAACTTCTCAAATAACCTAAAACCCAGGATTCTCTGGAAATTTCAGGCGAGCCAAAAACAAAACAAGCGCAGGAAAAAAACGCTCCATTTCCTCACAGTTTCTCAATTTGAATCGTTACCGACCTATTTAGATCACGAATGAATGCGGAGATCTACGCCGCAGAACTAGAAACCCTAGTTTACCAAAAATCATTGGATCATGCATCAAAATGAAAATCAATCATAAAACTAACTTGTGTAGAATCCAAAATTTTCAATTTCGAACCTCGCCATCTGAAAAATCAAAATACAAACAAAGGCAATACACAAAAAGAGACAGAAGAAAATCAAGATCAATAAGGAAAACACAGAGCAGAGGAGTCAAAGAGGAACCTGGATCAAAGACGAGACTCGGCAAGTGGCCACCCGCGTGAGAAATGGGAATGAGGGAAGGAACAAGGTAGTGCAGCGACTAAATAGCAGCGTTTGGTTATCGACATAATTTTATACCTCGTACGAATAAGGTAATGTCCAAACAAGAGCTAATTTATTACCATTACCGGAGATTCTTATTTCTTAAATCCCAAAAAATATCATAATTATATATTATTAATTGGGCATTTTCAGATATTATTAAATTAAATTCACTCAAACCAAACAAAATAAATATCCGAAAACTTCGAATTTACTAAGTAGATGTAATTATATCTTCAAATAATAATTTGGAACACTTTTTTTATATTTTGGTAATTTTTTTTTTAAAAAAAAAGTTAATGTATTTAAGCAACATTTAAACATGTTTTAATTATGTATTTTTATAATATTTCTTTTCCTAACGTTTAGGTGCAAAGTTGACTCGTTTGCTGCGAATGCGAATACGTACGCATCTCTGGTTCCTAAGTTTATAATGCTTATGCTCCTCGTATAATATAAACAATTCACCACACGTTTATTTAATTATCCCCATAACCACAAGCCATAATTATACAATACACACACACACACACACACACAAATACATTGGATTTAAAACAAATGAACCGTATAAATTTCTCGTATATCTTGTATCACATGTGCATATATATATAGATATATACGTATAAATAAGAACATGTAAATGCATGTGTAGATGGAGTTCAAGCGTGGCACTCGGGCGGAGGAACCGGGTAACGCGACCTGTCCGTACAATAGTCATAGATCATATGGTTAAGTCGGACCCAACGGTAACGTCTGGCTTCGACGGGGTTTAGGGTTTGGTAACCGTAACTTTCCCACCCGTTCTTGGGGCTGGAAGGGCAGTTTAACGGTCCTGGAACGGGACAACCTTCGATGTCGAAATCCTTGTAATAAGCGTAGAACGGAGCTTTTCTCCAATCAATCTTCTCCAACCCACCACGTGTCGCCCAGTCATCGGCCTCCCATAACGTTGAGTAGACCCCCATCGGTTGGGACGTAGGGTACGGGATGTTTCTCGCCTCGTTGTTCTTGTATTCTCTTATCGGCCACGTAGAATCTGCCATAAACCCACGTGACCAAAATACGTTTTAGAACTCTAAATATAGTTTTTAAACCGTAAAAATTATATATCATAATATTCTTAATTATATTCGAGGATACATTATATTTAGATGAGAGATAACTTACACATTATGCTTGTGGGTCCATAAGATGGTGTAGGTGTGGAAATCGGCGGCTGGATCGAACCAGAGGTTTAACCCTTTGCTCTCTATCCCCTTTGCCATGGGCATAGATGTTGGTCTGAACAGTGTACGGATGGCCACTTCGGTTCCCGAGAAACTCGAAGTCTAGCTCGTCCCTCACCATGTCCGTATCCGAGTTCATCTGAAGTATACGTAAATTCAACAGGGGTTTCTCAGGAAAAAAAACTCAGGGGGGCGAAAGAGGAGATTATAGAAAGTAAAGGGGGCAAAAGAAAATGAGAATACGTAGAAGGCGGTGACGGTGCCGGCCGAGTCTCCGGGGATGAGTTTGATCTTCATGCTCACTCGTCCGAAGAGGTACTTGCTTTTGGAGGCAAACCCACATCCTGAAATACAACATATATTCTATGAAACTATAAAACCTTATTTACAAAGTAGCCCCACAACTTTTAGAAACGTTCAAAATCAACCCTGAAAGATTGAGAAGTATCATAGTACCTGAATTCTGGTCAAGAACGAGCTGGATAGCCCTCCCGCCGTCGATTTGCCGAATGTGGGAATCAGACCACGTGACTTTGAAATCCTCGAGGAAAGTCGCGGGCCGGGCAGAAATTCGAACAAACAAAGTAGAGAGGGTGATAAAGCAAAGGAGATAAGTTATTGGGGTCGAAGGGAAATAACTTTCGGCCATGGCACTCTCTCTCTGGTTGTGAATAAAGAAAGCTAAGAATCAGAAAACAAATAAAAGAAATATTTTGACTTGTGGGTATATGAAGCTTAGCAAGGGTTGTATTTATATACATTTTTCAGTGTAGGATAGAAACTATAAATTAAAGATGACGTGGACCGAAGCATCCCAATGGAATTGAGCCATTGTTTAGCTTTCCGCACAGCTAATAGCAAGCGGTCCATTGGCCCTACCTATTTATTTCAAATGATATGTACATTTTCCCTTAAATAGTGTTTACAAGAAAATATATATTTCACTTGTGCTTTTATAGTAATATTACTTTCTTAAATGTCCAATAACCAATAAAAAGGTTGGTCCATTTCATTCCAAGGAAATATAGATTCCGAAGTTTGATATTATCGGTACTGGGATTTCATAATTTAAACTACGGATGGATGTATAATTTTTTACTAAAAACTGTTTTTTTTTTTCAAATAATGAAAATTAAGGTGAGGAAATCTGGAAGGCCGCATATATATTATTGTTGCATGCTCAATTCAATACCCACCAATGAGTGGGTTTGGCGGTTAGGGCTAACCGGGCCCCGGTCCATCAACTGGGCCCAACCATTTGTTTTTTTTTTATTAAAATTAAATATAACAATCTCATTTTTTCCCATCATATTTTTATAAGTTTCTCAATTTGCAGATAATGCTAATCGTTCTTTACAACGTTCTATTCTTTTCGTATGTTTTTATTTTAATTTTTACGGGGTGTTACGCTACATGTAAAAAGGTCCGGAAGATATGCATCCTTACCTCATTTATAATGTTTTTTTTTATCGAATATGTATATTAGTATGGTTTCATATAATAATATAACAAAAATCAGTAACGTGCTACTGTGCAAATTAGGATTGTTTATTAAAACTATTTAAATTTCATCGTAAATAAAAATTTTGAAGACAATAAATCCATATAATTCATCATTAATACGAAAACATCATGTCGAAACAATATAATAATTTCGACCAGCGTCCGACCCGGCGTAAGAATTTGGTTATTACTTATATGGTCGTATATATTTGGTATTTATATATTCTCAATATAAATGTTTGATTATAGAATGGATCGCATGAAGATTATTTGTCACAAAATATACCAAAATAAAAGAAATTAATAATTGGCGGGGGAAAGATGACCATTCGGTGTTCGACACGTGGATATCACCTCCTCCGGATGTTTGGAAACTGAATTCGGATGGGAGTGTGAGAGGAAACCCGACCTCTGCTGCGTGCGGAGGCCTACTTAGGGATCATTGGGGGAATTGGTCTATTGGTTTCGCCTCAAACCTTGGGATATGCTCAGTCTTTAGAGCAGAGGCCTGGTGGGTTTTGATCGGCTTGCGGCTAGCATAGCAAAGTGGGTTTCGAAAAGTTCTGGTGGAAATTGATAACAAATCTTTGGTGGATGTAATCAATAATCAAAAGGATACTCACACGGTAGATGGGAACATCCTCAAAGCAATTCACACTCTATTAGCCAAAGAATGGGAGGTTTCAATCTATCATATTTATCGGGAAGCTAACTCGTGCGCAGATTTTTTGGCATCTACAAGTCACACTCTTCCATTAGGAACATCTGTTTTTATTGCTGCTCCTTCCCCACTCTAAGCTTTTGATTGCTGACAGACTTGAGGTGACTACAGCTCGAAGCGTTTTGATGTATTGATCTACTCCTATTTATAAAAAAAAAAAGACAAATAAAGAAATGACGAACGTACTCGTGGGATCTAAATCCAAATTTGATTCTACAAAACGTAATCGTGACACACACGTGTATTATATATATATATATAATTACTTTTATGGTTATGTATACCAAATTAAATCACATAACATATTGCGTATAGAAAGGTTATAGTATTTTTCATCGTATTAAAAAAAAATTGCCTTTATAAAGAAAATAAAAATAATTGCGAGATAGGGAGATACATTCTTAAAAGGTGTAATGTCACTTTCAATGAGGGGGAAGATGACAGTTTTGGCGCAGATAATTTATAATGTAATGTAATGTGTCCTTTGATGTCTCCCCCCAGGCCCCATAACAAAATGGTTCAACGTTTATATTACACTATAGAATACGGTTCCCAAATTCGTATATTCTTTAAACAATAAAAAAATAAAAAATGATTTTGGACAAAGCCACGTGGGACTATGGTACGTGTGGGCAACGAGCCCATTACGAATATTAGGCCCATAGAAATGTGATGTCAAGCTAATCCCATTTAATTATATTTGTTGTCTTCTTAAATCTTTCATTACTGGTTTGTCCCAACGCGACGCTATATATATAAATATTTCAAATCTAAATTTTTTTAAAAAAATTATTTGTTTAATATATTAGATATCATATACAATGCAGTTTGGTTAAGATATAAACGAGAATATTAATATTCGTGGGGCGTGCTTGAAATGTGAAATGATCAAAAAGTCTTAAAGAGATTCAAACAATGAACAAACTCAATCCATCCAAAATACCAAAACCACCCATTATCACAGAAACAAACCAGAAATGGTCTCTCTAGTTGCAGATTTGTTGCTCTGCTTTGTGGTTCATATTACAAAAACTTGCAAGCAAATTCTCAGTTCACTCTCTAAAACCACTCACATGTCTGAATCTGGTTCAACCCAGATCCTGAGATTTCTCTTATAGATGTATATATATATAGTAACCTCCATAGCTCTAGACTCAATGTTGAGTCCATTGTATCTGCTTGATATCTATACCTTCTTTCACCATTTCATAGAGTGGGCTCAAATCCCTCAACTTCCCTACTTGCTTCACTGTCAGCTCCACCGCCCTATCGATCTCAGCCTCAGTAGTAAACCTTCCGATTCCAAACCTTATAGAAGTGTGAGCCATGTCCTCGTCCACACCCAACGCCCTTAACACGTAGGAAGGCTCCAAACTCGCACTAGTGCAAGCACTTCCACTAGATACTGCAACTTCCTTCAAACCCATCAACAGGCTCTCCCCTTCCACATAGGCGAATGACAAGTTCAGATTGCCCGCATAACGATTCTCCATCGAACCGTTCACCACAACCTCATCGAGCTTCTGCCTAATTCCGTTAAGCAGCCTCTCCTGCAAAGCCCTAACCCTCCTATCGTCATACTCCATCTCTTTCATCGCCACTTCACACGCAGCACCAAACCCAACAACCAGAGGTGTAGGAACTGTTCCACTACGAATTCCCCTCTCTTGTCCTCCACCATTCATCTGGGGCTCAACCCGGATTCTTGGTCGCCTTCTCATATACAGAGCACCAATCCCCTTTGGCCCATAGATCTTGTGCCCACTCAAGGACATCAAACTAACATTCCACTTATCTACGTTAACGGGTATCTTCCCAATTGCCTGAGCAGCGTCCGTGTGGAACGGAACGTTGTGTTCTTTACATATTTTTCCTATCTCCTCCATCGGTTGGATCACACCAATTTCATTATTAACAGCCATAATGGAAACTAGCCCGGTATCAGGTCGAATAGCTTCTCTCAACTTGTCCAAATCGATCAGTCCATCGCTTTTCACAGGCAAGTAAGTTACCTCGAATCCTTCCTGCTGCAGATGCCTGCAAGAATCCAGGACGCACTTGTGTTCCGTCTGAGTGGTTATGACATGTTTCTTCTTGTCCCTGTAGAAGTGCATCACCCCCTTCACCGATATATTGTTCGATTCCGTCGCGCCGGAGGTGAAGATGATCTCTTTCGGCGACGCGCCGATCAGAGCAGCGACCTGGCCACGCGCCGCCTCCACCGCGTTCTCCGATTCCCAGCCGTAGAGATGGGTCCGCGAGTGAGGGTTCCCGTAGAGAGAGAGGAAATACGGAAGCATTGCATCCAAAACCCTAGGATCGACCGGAGACGTCGCCTGCATATCCAGGTAAAGAGGCCTTCCACGGATTCGAACTCCTTTCATCACAATCGCCGAATCGTCGTCATAGGCATCCGGCGCCTTCTCGGTGGCTGCCGCAGTGGAGAGAGAGCGGAGGGGAGCCGCGGTGGAGGTCGAAGTGATTAGGGTTCGACGGAGGCTTGAGAAGAGGAGCTTCGTCGCCATGGTTTCCAAGTTTTGGTTCCTTCAATAGATTATCTCCTCGATAGCTAGGTGTAAGAAAAGAAGCGAATGGGTTGGGCCTATGAATAAGAATGGGCCTAAAAATACTGCAAAAGTAATATTTTAATATAAAAAATGTTATAATACTATATTACATCACCCGCACAAAACGGAACTTTTACCAAATTAGATATTTTACATTTCGAAATTTGCTTCTAAAATGTAATTTTTTGCTATAAATATAAAGCCCAAAAGCAGAGTAAGCCCAAACCCAACTACCATTCTAAACATTCTACAAGCCCAAAACAAAAGAGGACAGCGTAAAACGCTGCCGTTTTATTTAACAGGAGACGGCTTCTTCTCCTTCAGCAACTCGACCACTCTCCTCATGGTGGGCCTGTTGATTGGAAACGACGACGTACAGAGAAGAGCGACGTCCACAACTTTCTCAATCTCTTTGTAATCACTCGCAGAAGGCTTCAGCCTCGAGTCGACGAGTTTGCTTACGTCACCGAAATGCCCCGACGAGTCGCAACTCGTTTCGACGGGTGAGGAAGATGACGAGTAAGACAACGCAGCTTCCATTGCAAACTTGACAATGTCCTTATTCTCCCCAAACGAAGGATCATTCGGTCTTTTTCCCGTTACCAACTCGAGCAATACCACCCCGAAACTGTATACATTGCTCTTCTCGTTCACCTTCAAAGTATACGCGTATTCTACAAAGATACGGTCTCGTTAATTTCAATATAGATACACGAGAAAACCGGAAATTAAACCGAAGGGGATTAGTAATCGAACCGGGGGCAATGTAGCCGTACGAACCGGCTATGTTGGACTGGGACGTGGTAGCATTGCTCTTGGTTTTTGCCTCTAACGGTTTGGCCAATCCGAAATCAGCGACACGTGGCATCATCTCGCTGTCGAGTAATATATTGTTGCTTTTCACGTCGCGGTGTACAATCGCCGGCATGCAGTCGTGGTGTAGATAAGCGAGTCCCTGAGCGGCACCCACGGCGATCGAAAACCGTGTCGTCCAGTCGGGGAGTGAAACGGCACGGCGTCCTTTCTCCGAGTGAAGAACGTCACCCAAGCTGCCGTTCTCCATGAACTCGTACACGAGGATACGGAACTCCTCGCCGCTACAGCACATGAGGAGCTTCACGATGTTGCCGTGCCTGACCCGACCCAGTGTCTCGATCTCAGTTCTGAAAACGGACTCGGACTCGGGTTTCCGACCAGGTTCTCCCCATAGCTTCTTCACCGCCAGGGTTTGACCTGATTCCAGGACCACTCTGTAAACCAGACCCGACCCGCCTGACCCGATTATGTTCTCTTCGGTTAAATGTGGGAATATGTCTTGCTCGGTGAACCCAACTCGCTGAAAGGTGGTTACTTTGAACGCGCGATTGGGTTTTCTATGGAACAAAGGACTGATTTTGAGGAACAACCAAGCCAAAGAACCGGTGACGATCACAACGCAGATAGCTGCAATGGCGATAATGTATGGAGTTTCGGGTTTGGATCGGCAACGAGGAATCGGATACAGATCCGGCCCACAGAGATTCGGGTTTCCCATAAAACTCGAGATGAAGATCTCTTGCTGAAATCCAGTAGGGATTCTACCGTGCAATCTGTTGTTGGAGACGTTGAACCGGTTCAGCCTCAGTTTCGAGAGCTCCGCCGGAATCTCGCCGGAGATTTCGTTATTCGAGAGATCGAGATAGGTCAGCACAGGCAAGTCACCGAGTTGCGGCGGAATCATGCCGCGGAAGCGGTTATTCGAGAGGTTCAACTCAGTCAACTGAGTCCACGAACTCACGGAACTCGGAATCTCGCCGTCGAGCAGGTTCTCCTGCATGTTCACTCTCTCTAGCTTCTTCAGCTCCGTGATACAAGGTGGGAGAATGCCGGAGAAACGGTTGCGGCTGAGATCGATTCGAATGAGGTCCCGGAGATCACACATTTTGGCCGGGATCGGACCGGAAAATTTGTTGCCGGAGAGGTCCAGCTGCGAGAGGTGGCGAGCACTGGACATCGATGGAGGCACTGTACCTTCGAATCGATTGTCAGATAGCTCAAGACGAAACAGAGGAAGTTCCCAAAACTTGGCAGGGATTTCGCCGGAGAGATTATTGTTATCCATCCGAACGTAATAAAGCGATGGACAATCGCCGTAAGATTCCGGTAACTTTCCGGTGAAGTGATTGTTGAAAATGATAACACGCCGAAGCTTTTTCCTGTAACAGAGGAACGGAGGCAATTCTCCGGTGAAATTGTTCGTCGATACATCGATTTCTTCCAAATCGGAGAATCTGCCAAGACTTGTCGGTAAAGTACCGGTGAAACTGTTGTTAAAGATCTTGAATTGAACCAGATTAGGGTTAAAAGCTAAGACTTCTGGTATTTCTCCGGTGAAGAAATTGTCGTTGAGATTGAAAGAGGAGAGTTGCAAGGCCGCGATCCTCTCCGGCAATTTCCCGGTGAGATTATTCTCCGACACGTCGAAGTTCCTCAGAACTGTTAAATTCCCGATACTTTCCGGTAACTCTCCGGACAGTTGATTCTCAAATAGCTCGATCTGATATATAGAACTCAGCCTTCCGATGCTATCGGGAATTTTGCCGGAGAGATCATTCGTGGCCAAATCGAGATTCGTGAGCGAAACCAGATTCCCGATCCATTCCGGAATTTCTCCGACCAGTCTCGACTTAGTGAACCGAAGATACGTAAGCTTGGTCAGGTTCCCGATCCTCGACGGAATCGGACCAGGACTGAAGGGGATGAAAGAGAGTTCAAGCCGAGTCAACTCGGACAGATTCCCCAGAAATGCAGGGATAGTGCCACTCAGCGTGTTCCCGTTAAGGTTGAGAACTCGAAGCGCCGGAAACCGTCCGTAGCTCTCCGGAATCTCGCCGGAAAACTCGTTGGACTCCAACTCAAGAACACGTAAGCGGCGAAAATTCGGCGAAAACTCCGGCAACTTCCCAGAGAAAGAGTTCGCATTGAGAATCAGGACGTGGAGGTGGGAGCAGAGGGAGAGAGACTCAGACACAAACGTGCCACTGAGATAGTTGTCGGTGAGGGTGAGATTCCTGAGCGTCCGAATCCGGCAGAAACCGTACGGGAACTCGCCGGAAAGACCGAACCCGGAAAGATCAATCTTGGTGACCGAACCGTTTGCCTGGCCGCAAGAAATCCCAGTCCAGTTACACGGGCTGCTGCCCTGTTCTCCGGCGAGGACCCAGTCGCTTAGCTTCCCATCCGGGTCATGGAGGCGGGTCATTTTAATCCGGATCAAGATTTCAGCATCTCCATTGGAGAAAACCCGAAGAAAACACAGAGAAACAAGAGAGACGAATAGGAGGAAGAAACAAGGACTGTTCATCGTCTTCCACCGAAGAAAACAGTGGAGAACTGAGAGAGAGAGAGAGAGAGCATGAACTGTGAATGGGGATTTTAGAGAAAAGGCATGGCTATTGTGAGAGAGATGAAAAGAGTAACGTAAAGGGCGAGTGAGGAAACGTGCATGGGGAAGGTGACAAGAAATCAAGGAGAATGAAAAGAAAAAAAAAAAGATTCGGAGAATTTAAAGAAGAATTATGTCGTGATTCGGTCTGGTTGGGGCAATCACAAGTTCGGTCACATGGGAAGTAGGGCTTTTGTTTGGCCCCTTTTTTATTGAAGGATATCGACAACGTAACAGTACATACGTTAAAGAAGAAGTCTTAACGTTGCATTTGCTTTCTCCAACCTTTTCCCTGTGTTTAGATTTACGACCTACAGCATTAACAAAATATTGAAATTCGGCCACCAAAAAAAGGATCTTTTTTTTTTGTCGTACCGCCATACGTCTTTCTGTTAAGGGTATTCTTTATTAAATGAAAAAGCTAACCTATAACCTATAAATTTGATTGTTGAGTGAATAATTGGGGATGTTGATTAAGGAAATATAACGGCATTCAAATGTCAAAAGGACGGGAGAGAGAGCAAGCAAAGCGTAATTTGATGCTTTTGGGGAGATGAGATCGTGGGTTCCGTTTTGAGCTGTGTGTATATATATATATATATATATATAAATAAATTTTTTTGGTATATATATATATATATCATTTTCTCCGGACAAAGTACATAATTCATTTAAAAGTTGGAATAAGTTTGTTGGGAAGCGATGAAATTAGATTGCAGTTACTGGGCATTAACACATTTGGGAAGGAACTCATTTCGCTTTGGAATAAGCAAACGCAGGAAAATTCGAAGTCGACGTGAAGACTACTCTATCTGTTCAATGTATCCATATTTTTATTTTTATTACCACTTCAACGACTATTTATCTTCTTATTTTATTGCCACCCTTGCGTTTTTAACCCGTAATTATATGTATATATATCCCAAATAAATATTATGATATAAAAACATTTATAGTAGATAAAATTATTATAATTAATAATTGGATATCTGGCGGTTATAAAAAAATGTTGTGGTTAGTGGTTTCTAGTTATAGTTACATTTATTGGGAAATGGATAATTATAAGTTTAGATTGTTTAACTGCCCAATGCCTCTGTCTATGCTCAAAATGTATATTTTTTATTCTCTCTCAAAATGTGCATTATATTGTATTGTATTATATTATATAAGCCCAAATATTATTTTTATCTTAACTATGATTTTATAATAATGGAGTCCCAAAGTAATGCAATTTAATTATATTTCCGTAAACTTTTAAGGAAAAAAATTATATTACCGTAAATGATGAATGGCCTTCTTGAGATATCTAAAAACATCAGTAAAAAAAATTGATCATGGCTTCCCCTCCTTGTCGTCGCTCGTCGGTCCATGCATGCATACTCCATCCATAGTGGTCGGGGGTATTTTCGTCAATTTGTTCTCCTTCCTAAAACGCCGCGTTTCGATCTGCCATCCGAACGTAGGTTCCCAAAGGCCCATGTCCACCTTGTTCTACTAATATTTGAGAATACCTGGCCCAGAATAAGCCGTTTATCATTTGGGCCCAAAAAGGCCCATAACATAAGGCCTATTATAAGATGCAGTGTTATTCAATTTTGGTCATTGAAATTATTGTGGCCCAATGATTCGTACGTAACATTTTTAGATTGCTTTTGAAATTAAAATTTCTTTTAAATATTTCTGGTGTCTCAAATTTTATTTATATACAAAATTCGGAAAACATTTCTATATTAATCATGTAAATATAAAAGTTCTCAATGCATGCGACCTTGACAATTCATTTTCGAGAATCCGAGACTTCGTTTATATACATCGTGGTCGATAGGATTTTTAAAAAACATTCCGAGATTCATCTTATGGAAAATGCTTTATATGTTTCTCTTTTTCGCTTACAATAAAATATTAAAATTAAGGCATTGAATACTTACTAATAAATTATCAAGTGTTAAAAAAAAAGCACAAAAAGGCTGTATATATGGTTTTTGTACACGTGGGACCGCGCCACGTGTGGAGTTGATATTGGTGGAATCCGGAGAAGAACAAAGTAAGAGCAACTTTTTTTTTATTTAAGCCTTTTAATCCGCAATAATTGTGGTAATCTGATTTACACGTATAGGCAATAAATAATGGCAGTAATAATAATATTCTAGATATATGACCGTGACGCAATTTTTGCATGGATTTTCCTTATATATATATTTGTTTGGTTAATTATTTCAGTTATCTATTTATTTGTAATTTATTTATGTATGCGTGTTTCGTAATGGATTATTATGATTAATGTAAACTCGTGCAGATAGAAACCGAGAATAATGGTGGTAATGATTACTCGTGAAAGCATGATTCATGAATTTATCTTTCCTTTTTTAGAATTCCCACTCGAATTCTCTGACCCACAATTTTTTTGGGAATTATTTTTTTTCCGTAAGTTTTTCGAATGAAATTATATACTTTTATATGATTTTATCACTATTATTGGTCATAAAAAAAACTTTGATTTAAAAAAATAATTTAAACAGTTTGTTTTGTGCAAAAAAAAAAGAAATCCAAAATCCCGACAGTAAACAGCGGAAAATACCCTAGATTTTAATCATTATATGTAGGGGTGGACAAAATAACCGAACCCGAATAACCGAATCGAACCCGACCGATAAATACCCGAATTGAACCGAATCGAATAAAATTAAAAAACCGTTTGGTTATGATTTTTTAAAACCCGAAATAACCGAACCCGAACCGAACCGAACCAATTAAAAATTATTAACGGGTTGGTTATAAATTTTTATGAACCGAATTAACCGAATCGAACCGAACCGAAATATTTATATATCTTCATTTATATATATTTATATACATATATGAATGTTTATATTCTTGATTTAATCATTATTTTATTATATTTTAAATATCTTTTATCATTGTTTTTAAAGTTGGTGTGATATAAATATTAGAAAAAAAAACGATCTTTATTTATTTAATAGTTTTATATCAAAATATAAATTTAGATATTATTATTTTATATGTTAAAATAATTATGATAATATTTTATATTATATTTTATTTGAATATTTTTAATTATAAATGAATTGATTTTTTAAATATTATAACCGGACCGAAACCGAACCGAAACCAAACCGAACTGAATCTTTATTTGATTATAGTTTGGTTATAGTTTTAAATAGACAAAACCGAACCGAACCGAACCGAACCAAACCGAATAAAATTAATTAACCGTTTGGTCATGAGTTTTAATAACCCGAAATAACCGAATTCGAAATAATCATAACCGATTAACCCGTAATCAACCGTTCGGCCACCCCTAATTATATGTATGTATGTATGTATCCATTTGTGGGTGTATGTATATACGTATATCCATTTTTTTAATATATCGACTTTTACAGGCAGCAACGGGGCCTAACTAATGTCTATTTCTTTTCCAACGTCACCTCAATTTTCTAACTTTATGTCACTAAGGTATAGTGGTTGACAAGTTGTATAATTGGTTCCACCGGGGGAAAAAAATTTATAACGGGGTTTTCGATGCAATGAGATTTAATAAAAACGCAATAATATTCGTACGGTTGATATTTCTAAGAACATTATTTCTTTTATGTAAAATAGGAATCTAAAACTTTTATCTAACTATCATATATATTTTTGTTAGGGTTGATTCATATACTAGTACATGTAAAAAAAATATGTAGTTTTGTTTTGATTTTATGAAAATGTGTAATATTCTTTTTAGTTCATATAATTTATAAAACAATAGTCAGAAGTTTCTCAACCAATAATTTAAATATATGTGGTATGTTAAATTACATATTAAAAATTCAAATTTATGTATCGTGATTTATAGGATATTCAACTTGAGCACTATATTTATGTGAAAAATATATATATATTTCCACCAAGTGAATATGCATGCGCAGACTAAATGTAGACCGTGTAAATATTTTTTTATTTATTTGATAATCCGGAAACTCACCGGATCTTTGGCCCAACTACATCTTCCAGAGGACCGGAGCAGTCCATGTAAAAACCCTTCCCCAACCAGGAATTGAACCGTCAACCTCTAAGTACTTTGCACCCACCTGCTGACCACTCGCCCACAAGTTGTTGGGTAGACCGTGTAAATATAGTCATAAATTGAACATTTATTTTGAAACTGTATTCCAATATATAAACACAACAGTATGTATAATAAAAGTAATACCTTTTTCATATCATAAATATAGTGTGTGTGCATATATTGTAGTGTATATATATATATGAATTTGTGCAGGACAAAATGTGAAAATGTGAGCATTTTTAGCTAAAAGAAACTGTCAACGATAGCAAGGACTGATAATTTATGTCTCCCACTCATCCATATATGCCAAATACACTTTTTGTCCCCATCGCCACAGTTATAGACCCTAAAAATATTTTGAAAAATACCCACAAAATTACAATAAATGAATGTAAGAAAAAAATATTTTTATTTAGAGAATAACTGCCAATTTTAAAACTTAAATAATAATGACAGTGCATGGGAACCGTTTTAAAATGTGTTGATGAGTATTATTTTTATATATTGTAAAATATTTTTTATAAACCAATATTCAATTCGATAGTAATATCATAGACTTTTATTGTTGAAATAAAGAAATAAATATGGATTTAAAGTATTATAATTGATTTCAAGATATTCTAAATGTTAGATATCTTTGATATCAATTAAAGATACAAATAAAATAATATCAATTGTATCAATTATTTCTTAACTTATTAGTTTATGTCAGATCTTTTTTTTTGTAATTTTATTCCTTATTTATTATATAAGATTTGTTATAAATATGTGATGAATTCTCATTGTAATACAATAAGAAGAAGAAATATAAATTAAAATATTCTTGTTCTATTTTTCTTTTCTTTTCTTTTCCTTTTTTTTAGTTTCCGAATTTTATTCTTTAATATTTATATTATATCGATTTTAAAGCTAAAATATTTATGATTATTGCCCAAAACAAAAATTATATGGTTTATATAATTTTGCCAATATATATAATGTTTGAGATTACTTTGATAATATTTTCGTTCACCACATATATTCGGTGATATAGCAAATAAATGGTGTGAGTGTGACCATTTTAATCCTCACGCACACCCTTTAATATCCACATCGAGGAAGAAGAATCCTATGCTTACATTATACATTCATATTTTTGTTTGTACAGTGACATGTTTTTCTATCACTTTATAAACGTTATAATTTTGCCCCCTTCTGATTCGATTCAATGATTGAGAAGCGCTATCCATCATTTGCATGTATTCAAATATTATCCGATATGGTTAGTTACATATATAATATATGACACTCGTGTATATATAAATATATATACATATATACGCATATGGAATACAAAACATTGGCGCACCAACAAAATGCTTATACAAATGTTTTTTTTTTATAATATGTGATTTACCAAAGGTGGGATTCGAATCTGGGTGGAACACTCTTTGCGCATACCCACTTACCAGTTGAGCCAATCACTCTTGGCAAAATCCTTATACAAATGTGTTTTGTGTCGTGGTGCTAGTGATAACAGGTAAGATTAGGTTTTAGTGGCGAAGGAAAATGATATCCATTTATGGATAAAAAAAACAATAAACTGTATAAGGAGCTGCCATGCGAGATGAGTAATCATATGCTATAAGCCCTAATTTCCCCAATAATCAAACATCTTCCCTCTAATCAGATCGATAATCAAACATTTTATATTTAATTTCCAGACGAAACAACGGTCACTAAGTACACATCGCACTTTTACTACATTATTCAAAGACAAATTGATTATATATTTATTTTGTCTTTTTTTTTTTTAAAAAAAAAAAAAATATCACATCCACTTTTTTAACCCCACGAATAATTCGATGTCTTTGTCACGATATTATCGCAACATGGGCACATGAAATTTCCATGTCGAGGGAAAGAAAAAAGAAAGAAAGAAGAATGTCTTTTTCGTATTTGCCTTTGTATGCCATTGTTTTATGCGTGATTTTTGGTCCATAATTAAAGCTGTTTGGCAAAATACAAATCTATTCGTACGTATCTCTCGGAGATGTATGTATTCTCTCCCGACAACATGATCTACGGACCAAAACCATGTTGTTCATCTATAAGCATACGGATTAGATACGCATTTTTTTGTTTGATAGTCTTAGAGCAAGAAAAATGCCACGTGGAATTTATGATCGTGATAAGACGAGGGCACGGGATGGGAAAGAGGGATGTGTGTACGTTTGTATCTTTGCTTCATTGTTTTTACCGACACGGTGATGTCCCGTCCATGTAAGAGAGAATCCATGTCTGTTTCATTTCAGAAATCAAGGTAAACGCTACAGCAAACGAAAATGAAAAAGAAAAAGAAAAAGAAAAACACTATTTCAGAAAAAGTGTATGGAGTGAAGTATATTAAAGATGGTCGTTTAGGTTCGCTTACTCGGAATCCAATAGAAAATCTCGTTATTTTTTTTGAACCGTATCATTCACAAATTTACGAACGATATGTTTTTTTTTATAGAACCGAATTTTTTTGAACCAAATCAAACTGAACTTTATAAAATTTCCGAAAAATCAAAATTTTATTAAGAAAATCTAATTATTTTTTTAAACAAAAATCGAAACCGAAATCGAACCGAATAATATACGGTATTAATTTGATATAAATTGTAGAATACCGAATAAACCGTTCTCAAACTAAACTGTTAAAATTTCAAATCGAATCTCGAAACGCCCACTTTTCAAGTATAATAATCGCAAGTTTTGATACTTTTAAGTGGTGATAGTTCGAACTCAAATATTACAGTAAGATTAATATTTACGATGCTTGAAAAAAAAATTCTAAGAAATTGAATGAGAAAAGGTTTATAAGGCGAATCTGGTCGCACCGTCTAACTCCAAGAGCCCAACGACAACACGAGCAATAATGGCTCAAATTCCTACCCGAGGAAGAGAGAAATCGTAAATGCTTTTAACACACATGAGGAAATTGCTTCATGGCAAGGGAAAAGACACCCAAATCACATTAAATTCCGAAAGGGTTTGTATTATATATATATATATATATATACACACATATAGTAGGAGAGAGAGAGAGAGAGAGATTTCAGTCTACCAATCATCAACATTTATACCCTATATATATATATATTTTTTTTTTTTTTATATTTATATGTTCATCTCTATCTTGTTTTTGAACAAGAGGAATTAGAACGAACGATCAACTTTTTTTTTTTTTGGGTGGGGGGTTACATTGTGGAACCCAAATTTTAGTGAATTATATGAAGTGGAAACCATATGAGGGGTTAAGTAAATATATTGGTTGGGAATTGAATGTGGGTTCGAAGTCAAATGGCGATCTTTAATATACAATAAATAAACATTGGGTTGCAGATGCGTGACGCTGCAGCAACCCCCATTCTCACATCACACCATAAAATCACTCACAATTCCCATTTTTTTTTCCTGAAATTTAAAATTCCGAAAACTAGAAATTCTCCACCACGTCCTACTGTACATATTCGAAAATACTTAAAAAAAAAAAAAAAAAAAAAAAACAGGGGCAGACAAAAAAATAACTACGGAAAACGAAACAAACCTTGAAAAGAGCGAGTTAGGGACACTAAACCGAAATTCATACTTTGCCTTAAACCGGACGACCCACAAACCATAAGGGAGCTATATTTTTTTAATTTATCGTCGACGTAGATTAAAATGACGAATTTGCCCCCAATGCCTACCGGAACAACTCATATGCTGAGGAGATCGGGTGGGTCCCGGCTGACGTCATTGCCGTCTTTTCCGCTCCCTGCCATCGGCGACGACTGATACGCTGGCGAGTCCTCCGCCGCGTTGGGCTCCGGCTTCGGCGGCCGCATCTTGGGGATTTCAGTGAGGATCTGGACGACTTCTCGCATCGTCGGCCGCTCCACGGCCAGTTCTTCGACGCAGAGCATGGCCACGTAGAATACGTGCATTACTTCGTTGATGGGAACGGAGGACAACCTCGGATCCAGCACCTTGACGACTGATTCTTTGTTCGAATCTGTCATTTTTCTGACCCATTGCACGATATCCACTCCGTCCCCGAACTCACCCACCGGTTTCCTCCCCGTGATGAGTTCCAGAATCACCACGCCGAAACTGTACACATCGCTCTTCTCATCCACCTTCAGGGTATACGCGTATTCTGCAGCAAGAGAACATTAAAGACTGAACCTTTTCCTCCAAATTATGTCCAAACCATCATGAGATTATGAATTGGTTACCTGGAGCAATGTAGCCGTAAGAACCGGCGATGGCGGACATGCATTCAGAAGTGCCGGAATCTTGCAGGAACTTGGCCAGACCAAAGTCAGCGACATGGGCTTCGAAGTTGGAATCGAGAAGGATGTTGTTGGATTTGACGTCTCTGTGAACGATCAGGGGAGAACAATCATGGTGGAGATAGCATAATCCCTTGGCCGCTTCAAGAGCGATCTTGTAACGTGTGTCCCAATGCAAATGCCCTCCTTTCTTCCCGTGAAGAACCTCACCCAGGCTACCATTAGGCATGTACTCGTACACGAGGAGATTCGTCTCATGGTTCGAGCAAAACCCGAGTAACCTCACAATGTGTCTGTGTCTGATCCTTCCCAGTGTCTGAATCTCCGCATTGAACCCATGATCATGGGAAGATCCACGGGTCATTACCGGCAACCTCTTGACAGCGACTTGGTCGCCGCTAGGCATCAGGCCTTTGTAGACAATGCCGGCACCACCTTTGCCGATGATATTGTCTTCCTTAAGACAGTCCAAAACATCATCACAAGTGAAATCTAGCCTCTGGAAAGCTGTCAGTCTCCATGCTCGTGATTCACTCGCCTTTTTCAAGGATCTAGCCTTGATTATGGCTGCTATGGCGAACGCTATCGAACATATGAGAAAGCCAAGGACGAGCAACAGTTTCATAGAGGCTGATAAGGGCCCCTTAACATGAGACTGGTGAGTTCCTTTGGCGACTCCGTCTTTACAAGGACCCAGATACGGACCACACAGATCGGAATTGCCCAAGAACGATGTGTAGTTGAAGTAACTGAACTGACCGGTTCCCGGAACTAAACCGGAAAGATTGTTGTAAGAGAAATCGACGGATGTCAAGCTCTGCATCGACGATATTGACGCAGGAATTGGGCCCACGAGATGGTTTCTGGACAAGTTCAAGTAATTCAGGATCCTCATGCCCGTGATCTCGTTCGGGATTTCACCGGCAAGTTCATTTCGACTCAGATCGACAAAAGTTAGGAGCTTGCACTGACTGATCTCCGGTGCAATCCGACCCGAGAACCGGTTGTGGCTGAAATCCATCTTCGACAGCTGCTGAAGCTTTCCGATCTGCTGCGGAATCAGACCCGTGAACTTGTTCCCGTCCAGGAGAAGTTTCTGGACGCCGGAGAAGTTTCCGATGGTCGGCGGCAACGGACCGGAGAGCTGGTTGTTGGATAAACTGATCTGACCCAGATTGAAAGCGACTCTGCCGGTCACGGGGAACTCACCGGTAAGATAGTTGTCTTGGAGCTCGACTTGGGTGAGTTTGGGCAGCCCGAAAAGTCCCTTTGGGATCGACCCGTTGAGGAAATTCTCGCCCATGCGGATCCGGGTCAGGGACTCGCATTCTCCGAGCGAATCCGGGATGGGGCCAAACAAGAAGTTGCTGAGAGTGATTAGGGTCTGTAAATTGTTACCGGAACACATGTTTGGCGGAAGAGTTCCAGTGAGCTTGTTGGAGGACAGGTCGAGAAGCTGTAGTTTACCGTTTTCCCCCAATTTCCGGGGAATGCTTCCGGTGAAGTTGTTCTCCCAAAGCTGCAACACCTCCAGCTCCGGCAGATCTCCAATGAACTCCGGTATGGCGCCGTGCAGCTTGTTCCTGAAGAGATTCAAGAGCGTGAGGTTCTTCAGCTGCGCAAAACTCGCCGGAATCTCGCCGACGAACATATTGTTGGACAAATCCATGGATTCCAAGATAGGAAGGGTTCCCAGCTCCGGAGTTAATGGCCCAGAAAGCCCATTCACTTGGAGGAACAACGTGTCCAGCTTCTGCAGCTTCCCGATCTCGGGAGGAATCTGGCCGGTCAAACCGCAGTTTGCGGCGTCGAACCGAACGAGCTCGGACAAGTTTCCGATCTCCGGGGGAAGGCCATCTTCGAAAGCGTTGTAGTAACCGATGTAGAGTTCCCGGAGGGTCGAGAGGTTTCCGATCTCTGGAGGGATTTTCCCGACGAGCTCGTTCCCCGAAACCGCCAGGTACTCAATAACCGGCCAGCTACCATACGCCGCTGGGATCCGACCGGCGAAGTAGTTCCCGCCCAGATGGAGATGCCGGAGCTGGGTCAGGTTGGTGACGGAAACTGGTAAATCTCCTGTCAGATTGTTGTTGTACAGGTCGAGAACCCGGAGATTCACTAACCCGGCGGAGAGTTCATCGGGAAATGAACCATTAAAGACATTGTTGGAGAGATTAAGGTAGCGAAGCCCAAACAGAGAGGAGATCTCCGGAGGGATAGGACCGGAGATCTGGTTGGCAGAAACGGAAAAGTTCTGCAACAGACGTAAATGAGCGATGTCGGAGGATAAAGTCCCGGAGAGGTTAAGACCGGAGAGGTCAAGGGAGATCACGTGCCGGCGGGAGGCATCGCACGTGACACCGGCCCATCCACAAAAGGAGGTCGAGTCGGTCCACGTGGCCAGCGCCGAGTCATCTCCGGCGCCGGAGAGGGAGGATTTAAGAGACAGAAGTGCTCGGAACTCGGAGATCGGTCGGCCATCGGTGAAGGAATGAAAAATGTGGAGGAGAAGGAGAAGAAGGAGAAGACGAAGCTTCATTCTTTCTCTCTCTCTCTCTTCTCTGTGTCTGTGAGAGTTAGGGTTAGGGTAGGACAAGGTGCGAAGGGAGTGAGTGAGTGAGGAAGAAGATGAGGATGGCGTGATTTTGTTTTTATATTGTAATTATTAAACTTATGGATTTTATTGTACATTTAAATCGGAGGTATGAAAGGGAGGGAGAAAAGGCCACGTCAGATTTATAAAATAAATATTTAAAGAGGAAACATATAAAATTTCGCCGATGGATAGACAGACACTTAATAACAAAAAAAAACACAATTTATTAATAATCAGCGGACAATCCGTTTAGATGCACTTGATAACTGTAAAAATTCATATAAAAAAACTATATGTTATACCTTGGATCAAAATAACATTTTTTTTTGGGTAAATGTAGAGAAGTAAATACTTGATTAATTTAGAAAAAAAAGGGGGAGGACAGACTCAGTCGGAGTTCATTTATTTATATTTTTGGAACCTTGTTGTTCTTAAAACATTTGAAAGGCGATGCTCAAGTCTTGTCAATAATGATTTACTTTTTTTTTTATGGTACACTCATGCATTATCTAAAATATAATATAATCTGACAAAGTTACAAAATCAAAACACTTATTTCACACACACGCACACACGTGTGTATGTATATAGACCATATATATATATATATATATATTCAAGATTCAACTTGTTTACCCATAACTTTTCTTTGTTTATTTTTGTCCATCACATTTTTTTTATTTTCAAACTACATTTTATAGGTAAAAACCCATTGGACTTGCCTTTGAGAAAGGCTTTCAATTTAAAAGATTCAAACTTTTTGAATTGAAAAGAATAATATATATTATTTCTTTTTCAAAATTAAAAATCATCATACTTTTTATGGTTGTCTATCTTGCATTGGATAAAGCATAAGGTAAATTTCTTTAACTTAAAAAAAGGTTAGATATCAGAAAGCGACAAAAAAGGGTCGTTAATGGTAAATTACGACATTTTACCATCGCTAATTAAGAAAAAGGCAAAGAAAGGCAATAATCAGGTACCTCGCCGAATACCATTTGTTAAGTGGCTCTAAGCATAACGATGCTTAAAAGCGAAAGACCCATGATTAAAATGTCATGATCATGATGGACGGCCCAGATGTTATCGTTTCAGGAATGCAATGGGACCCATGTGTGGGCCCCGCTTTCGGACGATCAATAGTGATTGGGCCATTTGGTCCATCCATGTGAGACCCAAAACAAAACAGGGAAATATTTTTATTTATTTATATTGCTAATATCACGATAATAGTACTTTAGCTCTATTATTGCTTGCAAAATGTAGATGTAAGAATAGTTTCAGCTTTAAGTAATTTTTTTAAATAACATAAATTTTTAAACACCTGGAAAGAAATATTCTTATAATACAGATATAGAAAATATCATTAAACTTAAATGGTAATAATTGAATAAATCAAAGGACCCAACATGTTATTTTAACTTAACTTTGCATGTTCATAATAATATAAGATAAATCGAAATGGAAATGGTGGGGGCAAAGAAGATAAATGATTGATAATTATTAATAAAAGCAATAATTCTAATGGTGGGGGGAGCTTAGCCAAAAAGAGCTTCGGTCAACAATCGGTTTGACTGACATCGGAATTGGCCCTAATGTGAATTACAGACATGCCCTTACAAGGGTCACCGTAATCACATGTCGACCCAACGAGATAGTTAATGGGCCGGGGAAATGACAGTAATAGCCCTCATCTCGAGCAAAACGACAAAGTGACGGAAACACCCTCGGCCTCGTGGAGCATTAATAAATGAATGCAGCCGTCGTCTAAACATGCTTTCCGAGAGACGAGAGAGGCGACAAAGCTTACGTGGCGGGCAAGGCTATGATCGTCATTTTCTTCTTTGCCAGTTTCACTGATCAAATTATAATGATTTGTGCAGTCTATTTTTACAGTATCCATCATAAAAACTGACGCTCATACATACACACGCACACACGTATTTGTGCACATACATATATATATATATATATATAAAGACAGATTTACTTGTATAGAGAAGCTCGGCAAGGGAAA